ACTAGATCTAGGTACCAGGGTGTATTACGTTCTATTTAATGGGATCTTCATTCCATTGTGCTGTTCCACATATTTTTGTTAGTATTGCCTCTAGTTCTGGCCAGCACACATTAAGAATAACACCAAACATTATCAGAGTTAAACACCAAAGATGATCAGTCAGGGGTGATCAACATGACAAGGGTTTCAGCATTCCATATAATGATTTGATGGGATTGAGGTTGTTTGGTTTAGCAAGGAGAAAACTTAAGAGAGCACTAGTTTTTAAATATTTGAAGAAATGTCATGTAGTAGAGGTCAAACCAGAACAAATGGGAGGCAGATTTTGGCTCATTGTGGAAGTATTCACAAAGCTATCCTAACAATCAAAGAATTGGCTTTGGAAAATAGTGCTTTCTGTTACTGGATGTGTTGAAGCCAAAAATGGTTGGCCATTTCATTGTAAAGGATATTATGGAAGAGATTTGTCATCAGCTTTGACTGTACACTAGATCTCTAAGGATGCTTCCAAATCTAAGATTCTATCATTTAAATTGCATCATGGGTTGTATGAAATCACGTGTGTGTGTGTGTGTGTGTGTGTGTGTGTGTGTGTGTTTTAAGAGACCCATCCTGGGTCAGGGCACATACAAGAATGAACCAGTGAATGCATAAACAAGTGGAGCAACAAATCTGTGTGTTCTCTCTCTTTCTCTTTCTTCCCTCTCCTTCTCTGTCCCCCTCCCTCCCTCTCCCCTCCCCCTAATAGCAATAAAAGAATATAACAGTAGCTTGAACAAAATCAGATTCTGTCTCCTGTAACAGTCCAAGGGTAAGAGGTTCAGGGCTAATCTGGAGACTCCATGGTGTTGAGGACCTGGGCTCTGCCTCTCTTGCTGCACTTCCTAACGCCTTCCCCTCATCTGCGAGATTGAAGATGGCTTACCTCTATCATTTCCATGTTCCAGCTGGTGGGGAGAAAAATGGGGAAAGAGAAAATCCCCCATTTCTTTGAAGGGCATGATAAAGTTGCATGCATAACTTCTGCATGTGTTCCATTGACAAGAACTTAATTGTAAGGCAACGCATAACTGGATAATGCACCCAATTAAAATTCTTCCACTGTGAAAGAAAAGAAGTCCTTGCCACAATCTAGGATAAGGAGAATTGAAATGATTAATTTTTAGTTAGGTAATATATGTACACGGTTAAAAGATAAAATAGTACAGAAGGGCTTATGATGAAAAGTAATGATTATGTGTTGTGTTCTTTCCCACTCCCAGACTCATTGTTTACAGTGAACCCTTTTTAACTACAGTTTTGGTTCTTGTGATTATGTTCATGTCTCTAAATCCTTTGCTTAAACTGCTATTTCTTGTTTTATCAACTTCATTTATTTTTTTAAAAATGTTTTTATTGATTTTAGAGAAAGAGGAAGGGAGAGGGAGGGAGAGATAGAAATATAGATCGGCTGCCTTCTGCACCCCCCTGCTGGGGATCCACCGACAACCAAGCATTTGCCCTCCCCTTGGTGCCTGGGCCTACGCTCAACCACTGAGCCACACAAGACTTGTTTTATCAACTTCAGACATCATTTACTGACCTCCTGCTAAGATGGATGAGTATTTATACCCTGCAAACCTACCCCCTCCCCATATAGTTATATGTTAATTTTTGCTTCCTCTTTTGTGGTTACCTTTGTAACTTTGAGTAATATACTTTAACCTCAATTTCTTGTTACATAATTTATAAACTAAAACTACCTCTTCACCCCTCCCCTTTGTAAGAAAGGACATTAGGGACTGAAAGTTAACATTTACATTTTGTTCTGTGCAGTAAATAAATCTTTAAAACTTTGTTGATTTTTAAGTGTTGAAAATCAGTAACCATCATTAATTTTGCGACTGTGTCAGCACTTTGTTGAGCTGTGTAGTGTTATGAGTTTATCTGCTATTAGTGTCTCATATCACAGCCCCATCTGCTCTTGAAGAGGAATAGTCAAATGTTTTTTCCTTTTCTTACACTCCCTTAGTTGCCTGAATTTGTGCCATTTATATATATATTTTAAATATATCTTTATGGATTTCAGAGAGAGGAGAGAGGGAGAGAGAGAGAAACATCAATGATGAGAGTCATTGATCGGCCGCCTCCTGCTTGCCCCTGACTGGGGATGGAGCCCGCAACCCGGGCATGTGCCCTGACCGGGAATTGAACTGCGATCTCCTGGATCCTAGGTTGACGCTCAACCGCTGAGCCACGCCTGGCCAGGCTGTGCCATATTTTTATTTTCTTACCTAAATTATGACTGTTGTATAGTATTTTTGTTTTTTTCTTAGAATTTATTTTCCTTTGCACCCTTCCTCACCCCTCAAGATAAAAGAAACAGATACCTTCTTAGCGTGGCTCTAATTTTTTTAGGCGTTCTGTTGTTTGGCTTATAGCTTGCATTCTATTGCATTCTCCTTTTGAATCCTACTAACTTCTCATCTGGATCAATTGCATATTTGGGCCAACATTAGCCATTATTATAATTATGTAATTAGAGTCCTTGGTCCCTAGGGTGCAGGAAGATTGGGTATGGCAGTTCTAAAGCTGTTCACTATTTCAGAAAGCCTAATGGTAATTGCACGTTTACTCATAATTAAGGCTATATATGCAGAGTGAAACATTAAATTACTTTGCTGTTGCCAGAAATGTTTCAGGGCACTGGCAGTTTATGTCAGATTACCAAAAATGGAAAATTATTTGATAACTTAGTAAATGTAGCTTGGTTTAGGCATCTTTCAAAATGTGGAATTGTGGGCAAAAATAAATAAGAACATTGTAGTGAAAATTTTGGAAACCACCCGATAATGACCTAATAAAGCTTATTCTGAACATTGATGTGTTCAGCTTTTTAATAAATGACTGGTGACATGCTTTTAAAAATGGTTTAGGGTTTTTAGTAAATTCCATATGCCCCTATAGACTAAGAAAGCAGCCAAAGAAATTCACACACATTTGATAGAAGTATATTATCTAGCTTGAGGGAAGTAATCTCGTTAGTTGACTTTGGTTTTTAGAATATGCCTAGAGCAATATGTCTGATTTTAGACGTCACTCTTCTAGTATCCATCCAGAGAATGAATGTGGTGATGGTTTTAAAAACTGAAAAACAAAGTATTTGAGTGAGGCTGCTTAACCTGAAAAAGATAAGGCTTGAGGCGGCCCAGCTATGTCTTTAGATGTGTAAAAAAGGTTGGCTGGATAGAAAATTCAGTATATTCTTTGTGGCTTCAGAGGGAGAGTAGCACTAAGGGTTTGTGCAAGTGAGCTATAAAGAGGGAGATTTCATCTTAATACAGGACAGTGTTCTGACAATTAGAGTGGTCTGAAGGGCTGTTTCCACATCAGTGGTACTCTTCAAGTAGAGATCCTGGTACTGATTTATGAAGTTAGACTTGATGGCTTCCAAGGCCCCTGTGACCTGAAAAGTCTATGAATCACCTCTCTGGAATTTGAATTGAGTTCAGGGCTAATGAACCTCTCAAGAATTATTTTGGGAAATGAATTAGTAGAAGTCACTAAGCTATTTGAATATGTCAGTAGAAGTACAATGAAGTGGTCAATAGGAACCTAATATCTCATTTTGAATGGCCCTACCCCTTATTTGCTCTGTCATTTTGAACAACTTAGTCTTTTATCTAAACTCAATTTCATCATCTGTAAAATGTAGTAATAAGTGTTTACTTTATAATTGTTAGAGACAATGTAGGATTGTTTCATAGTTCATAGTCCAAAAGTTCATATCTTAAAAGAGATAGTGTATGTAATGTGCTTTGGATTTTGTCTGGCTCATGGTAAATATTCAGTAAATAATATATTATTATTATTCTGCTTTTAAAACTTAAAAAAATGCTCTCACTTTTAATTTTAATCAAATAAGCTCCTTTGTGTAGAAATAATATTTTCTATTTGGGTTACTTTATCCAAAACTTACAATATTTTAAAATGGAAAGATGATATAAGTTTGTCTTTGCCAGTCTATGACTATTTACATTGTTTCTCTATTTGGTGTGCCTGCCTTGTTTGCTGACTTTTCAAAATACTCTGTTATTTGGAAGGTTTGAATTTATACCTTTTATAGTGCCTTTAACCTACCTTTTTCTTAACTGCTTCTGTCTGGTGGGTCAGTGTTAAATGGTGTCCTTTGATTCCTCCTGTTACCTATATGACACTGATCTAATTCTACTTTTGCTCTTTTTTCTCTCCCATTGTTTTTGGTGGCATTCTTTCTACTTCGTCAGAACATGTAACATTTAAATATTATTATCCTACCCATGTCTCCCCCCTTATTTTAGTCTGTGCTGTACAGCTGTATGTATGTCCTTTGCTGATATATCTCCATTTATCTCTTGGCTAGTGAAGCACATCTTCTAGAAGAGTCCTCAGCACGGGCTCGTGTGTACAGCATTCCCTGAGTTCTTGCACATGCAGAACGTCTTTTTCTGTAACCTTGATATTTGAAGTACAGCCATTGCCCCCCCCTTCCAGATCTAGTCAGTCAGGTGTATTCAGGGCGGGCCAAACGTAGCTGTACAGTGTAAGCCCACGACCCAATTTATTCTTGTTTTATTACTTATTAATGATTGTATTATTTTCCGTGTGAACAGCTGCAAACCTACTTTTCCCCCCATTACCTTCCAAATATGACTCACACCCTTCTCCATTCTTACTGCCACCATCAAAGACCAGGTTGTGAGGACGCGGACCATTGCGATAGCGTCCAGTCTCGTTCCCTTCCAGTCCGGTCTCCACAGTGCAGCCAGAATAATTATTCTAAAATACGTCTGGCCGCCTTATTCTCTGCTTAAAGTATTTGCCTCATTTATTTCAGAAAATGGAATCATCAAGACAGATAAAGTATTTGAAGTAATGCTGGCCACCGACCGCTCCCACTATGCAAAATGTAACCCTTACATGGATTCCCCACAATCAATAGGTAAGCTTTGGATTTCCGAGAATGTCACATTTTTTACTCACTCACTCTATAATTTTTGTAAGTAAAAATAGACTGGGACACAGATGTTCATTATTACCTCGCTGGTTTGAATTTTATGCCTTTATAATGTTATATGTATATAAAGTATCTTTTCTGTTTTCTCAAACATATATAAAGAATCTTTTAAACAATTCTTCTGAAAATATACTTTTAATGAAAATTTATGGTTTAAGCTGAATGCTGAGTTTTCCTTAGGGGCCTTCACGTTGACTAGGGTTATTTTCCCCATTAGCCTCAGTTTTAAGAATCAGTACTAAAGGCAATAAATGTACTTATTACTGGCATCTCTGCCTCGCTTGCCCTGAGCTTGTGACTTGCGCTTGATTTTAGCAAGTTCCCTGTTTAACTCCTTCTCCTGAAGCAGGTTTTTGCGGAACTGCTGAGCCTTGGCAGTGGGCGCCTTTGAGGCTTAGAGGGGCCTCAGGATTCTGTCGCCAGCTGCCATGCCTTCTTCTTTTGAAGCACCATGACAGTCAGCAGAGAAGATCCTGGGGGGCTTCTGAACCCCGAAGGCACCTGCTACCACCGCTCAGTGAAAATTGCTTCAGATGCAGAAGCAGGTAAATATGTTTTGAAAAAGCAGCCCTGGAAGAAAAAAATGTAGAAGCTAAAAACTAAGGAAAGATTGTGTGAATTTGCATCAGATGATAGTATAAAGAGTTGTTTATTAGTCTCTTAAGCTACTTTCTGGTTGCTCTAGTTTATTTTTAAGTTGCCAAAAATAGGAAGCAGTTTAAGTTTGCAAAGATTTTGCATACCTATTATATATGGAAGCTTATTTTCTTTTTATAAATCTGAAGCGAAAACAAGTCATAAATTTATGGACTCAACTTATTGAAATTCTTCCTTTCTTAGCAATCATACAGGAGAAGAAATCTTTAAAAATAGTGGCCTGTTGTACTAGAGGAGCACAGTAGCCTATGGCATGACTGGTTTTCCTAATTTTAACTGCTGCATGACCTTACTCGAAAGTACAAAATAAAAGTTTCCTTTTCTTGTGATCATAAAAATGAAAATTATTATGAAAAGTAATTTATGGATGTTGGAAAAGGAATTACATGGAGTATCTGGTATGTTTTTGTGGCTGAACGTATCAGTAGCTCTCTTCTTTTGCAGGTTTCCAAGCAACAATCAGTGCTCCACACATGGTAAGTTAACTTTGGTCATTTGGGCACTAATGGATCACATGATCATGTTTTTTCTTTAAGATTATTTTCTTTAGTAAAAATCGTTAAAGTTTTAAATAATTTCCCATTTCCTGTTCTTCCCAGCCCTGGCACCCACTATTCTATTTTCAGCCTCTACAAATTTGACTACCCTAGGTATCTCATAAGTGGAATCATAAGTATTTGTTTTTTGTGACTGGTTTATTTCACATAGCATAATGTTCTCAAGGTTTATCCATGTCATAACTTATATCAGAATTTTCTTCCAGACAGGGTGCATTTTTAATCATTTGCATTTTTTGAGGAACCTGCTTCTTAATAAAGAAAATGTGTGTATGTATGTGTGTGTGTGTATGGTCACATAGTACATCTGTATGTATGCAGGCATGTACAAACATAGGCATACAGTCTCCTATGATGCTCCGAGCAAGGATGTTAGTAGAATAAAATAGTATTAATTGTATTATGTAGCAGTGAGCACACTCATTATCCAGATATTGAATTCTAAATACCATTTCTCTCTAAAGAGACTAGAGCCCTTGGAGAAGTGATTGAATGTTGGAACCTGAGGAAGTACTCAGAGGCTAATGGGGTAATGTCAGAAGGACATAGGTTGCAGATTTGTAGAGACTCCCAGAGGCCACATTGGAGACAATTTGAGAATCATAAAAATGATAATGAAGACAATGGATTGTAACACAGTGAATTAAGAAACAAAAATCCATGAGTCCACAGAGATTAAAAAAAACAAAAAGCAAGACAGGGAAAAAATGAAAGAAGAATGCCAGTTAATAAATGTGGCAGGAGTAATAGAATTTTAAAAATCATTATTTTGTAGCCCTGGCCAGTGTGGTTCAGTTGGTTGGAGCATCATCCTGGACACTGAAAGGTTTTGGGTTTGATCCCTGGTCGGTGTGCGTGTGGGAGGCAATCAATTGATGTTTCACTCTTGCATTCATGTTTCTCTCTCTCTCTCTCCCTCAGATCAATAAAACCATGTCCTTAGGTGAGGGTTAAAAAAAAAATCACTATTTTGTAATCATCAGTGTGATAATTGAATTAGGCAGTGAGCATCAGTTAATCTAAAACTATTAAAAGGAAGGTTGTTGGTGAACAAAAATATCCATGTAGTCTCAAGTTATTGCTCTAACATATTACTTGTTAATTATGAAGAAAAAAAATATGCCCTGAAAAGAAAGTGACTTACTGAGTTTTCTGAGTAGCTGAGTTTGGTATGCCCAGTAGTGAGATTGCCCAGCATCATGTGCTTCCTGATGTAATGCAATGGGAGGTGCCCAGCAAGCCCTGTGTGCTGCTCTTGCTAAAAGTCTTTGATCTGAATCTAACAGGAGAAACTGACACATCTAGAATATGGGGTTTTATGCAGGACAGCCGGGCGGGACTCCTTAAAGGAGTCAATATTCTGAAGAACAGAGAGAACTGGTAGTTGGAGGAGAGTTGGTGGGGAGAATATTTGAGATTGGCAAATGCAGAGCATGAACCTTGAATGGATTGGGGGGGGAACTGCTGTAAAGGACATTTGCGGGACAAAAGAGGAAATTTGAATATGTTGCATGTGTTGGATGATACTAAACTGATGATTTTCTTGAGCATGGTAATAATGGTGATGTGGTTACGAAGGAAAATGTCCTAGTTTTTTTTGGCAGATGCATACTGAAGTATTTAGGAGGAAGTACCATGATGTCTACAGCCTGTTTTTAGATGGTTTGATAAAATAGTATGCCACAATATGAAGAGGAGAAAAGCGTGTTCGTTGTTTATTTCCAGTGTTTCTGTGGGTTTCAGATTTTTCATAATTATAAACATGAATTTTAAAAACTGTCAATTTTTAACCTGGCCGGGCATGACTCAGCAGTTGAGCATCGACCTAGGATCCAGGAGATTGCAGTTCGATCAGGGCACATGCCCGGGTTGCAGGCTTGATCCCCAGTCGGGGGCGTGCAGGAGGCAGCTGATCAATGACTCTCTCATCATTGATGTTTCTCTCTCTCTCTCTCCCTCTCGCTGAAACCAATAAAGATATATTTAAAAAAATAATAATAAATTAAAAAAATTTAAAAATAACAACTGTCAATATTTAGATTTAGAGATGAGCATGGGTTATCCAGAAAAATATCTGTAGTGATAGAAACGTGAAAAAAAGCTAATAAATATGATTGAGGCCTTGACATTTTAAATCTGAATGAGACTTTAATAACTTAGTATACCCCCTTTTTTAAAGAACAAAACAAAACAATACAACACAAATAAGTCTTATACAAACATAGTACTAAAAAAAAAAGTCCTGAGTTTCTTTTGGAATTAAATTGGGACAGTACTATCTATAGATTGGGGATTGATTGGTACCTTAAAGAAGTCCCTTCTAGTCCTTTAATTTCTGGATTCGGGAAAGTCATGTATTATAGGAGTTTTTGGTTTTTTTAAAAATATATCTTTATTGATTTCAGAGGGAGGAAGGGAAAGAGAGAGAGAAACATCAGTGATGAGAGAGTCACTGATCCGCTGCCTCCTGCACACCCCCGACTGGGGATCGAGCCCGCAATCCGGGCATGTGCCCTGACAGGGAACTGAACCTCGATCTCCTGGATCCTAGGTCAATGGTCAACCACTGAGGCACGCCTGGCCGGGCAAGGAGTTTGTGTTTTCTTTTTAATTACTTTCATTTTCTTATCTTGTGAGACTTACCATTAATGGAAATTATTAACTTTCAGGGAATAATGATTGTTGTAACAATCTGATCAAAGCTACAGATCTTCATCCCCCCAAAAGTACACAAACTCTCTCCATACAGACTCCATCAATAAAAACATATCCTTGGGTGGGGATTAAATAAATAATAGGACATTCTCTTAAATAGCTACAGTACAGTTGTCAAAGTCAGGAAGTTAACATTAATACAACACTGTTAGACAATTTACAGACCTTATTTAGATCCATTAATTGCTCTAGTAATGCCCTTTATAGGAAAAGAAAATTGCAGACCAGGAGTTTCACTCATTTTGTCATGTCTTTTTAGCCTTCTTTAATCTGGAGCAGTTCCTCAATCTTTTCTTAATTTATGGTCTTGAAAGTTTTTACGAACACAGGCCAATCTATGTGTCTCTCTCACATCGATGCTTCTCTCTCTCCCTCCCTCCCTCTCCCCCTTCCGCTCTCTTATGTGATTCCGATGTGGATATAAGTATGTATAATATGTTTTCGTTGACTTGGTGGATGACAATAGTAGTGACATTGGTATGAAGTTGGCAACTTTATTTATATGCCGTGGCATATATACTTTATATTCTTGGAAAATGAATATTTGCTGTGTTTTCTTTTGGCAGCATGCATATGCGCTAGAACTTCTATTTGATCAGCTGCATGATGGAGCCAAAGCTCTGGATGTAGGATCTGGAAGTGGAATCCTCACTGCATGTTTTGCACGTATGGTAAGACCTTTATTTTTCATTCTTGCCCCAATAGGAGCATAGTTCTACATTTCCTATGTATGATTTGACTGTGTATTTTTTTCATTAGCAGTTTCTGAAGGTTTTTTTTAAAAAAAATTCTACCAAGGTAGCAGTTGGAATATATATCACTAGGATATTTTTATTATTGTAGCAAGTGACAAAGTATCTAAATTGGCAGAGCTAAAGGGGAATTTATTTGGTTTATATAATGGAAACATCTTAAGGTGTATCTGGCTTCTTGTGTGGCTGGATTCAGATCAGGTATTGTTATTGACAGTGGGTTTCTCTGGTTCTTGGTTTGACTTTGCTTTTCTCCACATGTTCGCTTCATTATCAGACGGGCTCTTCTCTTGTGCTCACACCATGGTAGCCAGTAGCTCCTGGACTATATTCTTCAAGTTTTTGTTTTGTTTTTTTAAAATATATCTTTATGGATTTCAGAGAGAGGAAGGGAGAGGGAGGGAGAGAGAGAGAAACATCAATGACGAGGGTATCATTGATCGGCTGCCTCCTGCACGCCCCCTGCTGGGGATCGAGCCCACAACCTGGGCATGTGCCCCACTGGGAATCGAACTGTGATCTCCTGGATCCTAGGTTGATGCTCAACCGCTGAGCTTTTTAATTCTGCCTAGCTGGGCTCTATTCTTCAAGTTTTTATCTGGCAGAAAATAATATAGAGTCTGATACCTAAACACTCCTACAGATCTATTAGGAGTGAGGGCAGAGATTCTTTTACATTAAGAAAAGTGNACATGCCTAGCTGGGCTCTATTCTTCAAGTTTTTATCTGGCAGAAAATAATATAGAGTCTGATACCTAAACACTCCTACAGATCTATTAGGAGTGAGGGCAGAGATTCTTTTACATTAAGAAAAGTGCTCTTAGAAAAATGCCTTGTTTATTATACTTTAACTTATATCACCAGAGGCTCATCTGATACGTGACCACCAGAGTATGACTGGAGGCCCACCAAGCACCTTGAGGAAGGGCTCATCTGTGCTCAGAGAATCACATCAAGTTGATTATGAAAAGTCTTTTCCCTGGAGGCCAGATTAGAAGGTTCTGGTTTGGTTGAGTTGGGATTTATGGGTCCATCTTGGACTAGAATCCATTTAACTTGCTATAAATGTATAATCAGCAGCCCCCTATCATGTAAGTTTCAGGGAGATGGGGCTTTTAATATTTAATGTTGGCAGTTCAGCCCTCCATCATTGTCCTGATTTTTCCTCTCGGCATATCGTAAGCATCCAGAACAGTGTCTGATCTATAATAAGGATTCCGATCTGTTCAGTATTTTTTACTTATTTTGTAGAAGTTAAGCCCTCACCAATGGGATGTCAGGAACTTTTTATTTTCAAAGCTTAGGAATAATATTTAGTGAGATATTTTCTATACTTGACATATCTATGGTTTCAGAGGAAAATTTACTTTTTAAAAATCATTAAATTTCTGAGTTATCTTTTTTTAAATGATGGCAATTTAAGTTAATGCTTTTTACACATTTAGTACATGATAGTCAGCATTCTAAATGCTTTTCATGTGTTCTCTTATTTAATCCTCAATCATCTATGAGGCACATACCTTTTCCTCCTCATTTTACGAAGCTCAGGAACCTGATTCGTAGAATCACTTGCCAAGGTTATGCAGTTGTAAGTAAGTAATGAAACTTAGATGTGACCCCAGCTAGTCTGACACCAAAGTATTTATTGTGTTAAAATTTTTTATAATTTATATTTGGGGCCTTTTTATATTTTCATGTATTTTATACTTTCCACAAGATGGCAGTAGAATCAGGTATAAAAATCCCTATAAAATTATTTAAATCCCTATAAAATGTTATGTAACATTTATATATACATAATCCTCACCTGAGGATATGTTTATTGATTTTAGAGGGAGAGGGGGAGAGAGAGAAACATCAATCAGTTGCCTCCCATATGTGCCTCAACCAGGGATCACACCCAAAACCTTTTTGGTATACAGGACAATAGTCCAACCGAGCCACCCAGCCAGAGCTGTAACACTTTAATATTTAAAGTCACACTTCTAGGTTTAATGTGAGTAGAAATGATTGCATTAACTACCACTTAATATTGGTAGTTAAGCCCTCCATCATGGTCCTGGATTTAAAAATGATAAATTGAAGAATGATAGCATTTTCCTTAGTATTACAAGTTTTTATAATTTATTCTAGCTTTTTAATTACTGAAATATAATTATTTATTTGAGGGTTATAGTTGGGAAAGTTGTAATTGGTAAATAATTTATAATAAATGGAATTGTCTTCATTTCTCATTGCAGAATAGGACTTTACATAAGGAAGCACTTTAATGACACTTTAGAAAGACAAATTTAGACCAGTGAGCTATTGAATTCTTCTCATTTCTAGGTTGGAGCTAGTGGAAAAGTCGTAGGAATTGACCACATTAAAGAGCTAGTAGACGACTCAATAAATAATGTCAGAAAGGATGACCCAACACTTTTGTCTTCAGGGAGAGTGCAGCTGATTGGTGAGTATCAGAAAACAAAAAACTTCCTCTCTGCAGAATTTTTATTTTCAGATTTTCCCCATGCAAGCTAAATCATGCTCTGAGCTAATTACTGCTTTTTTTTTTTTTTTTTTTTAAATCCTCACCCAAGGATATTTTTTCCACTGCTTTTAGAGAGTGGGAGAGAGAGAGAGAGAAACATCAATGTGAGAGACACATCTATTGGTTGCCTCGCACACAAGCCCCGACAAGGGCTGGGAACTGAAGCCTGCAGCCGGGGCACAGCGCCCTTGGCTGGAATCGAACCCGGGATCCTTCAGTCCATAGGCCGACGCTCTAACCACTGAGCCAAGTCGGGTAGGGCTAATTGCTTGTCAATGTTACGCTAGTTCTACCTGGATCGTGGGTGCCTGGCTGTCAGCTGTTCCAGAAAGTGCCCATGTTGAATTGAGTTCTTTCTTCATTGCTTTTTCAGAAGTAATACCAAAGTAACAAGTGCTCATTATAAAAAATTTAAAGAGTGCAGAGATGTGTAAGATAAAAGAGAAATCCCCTCCTCTTCCCTTTTCAGTTTTCCAGGTATATAAGTATATGTGTGAATAAACTGCACACACGCAGAGTTTTCTTTAACTCATACTGTATTATTACCCTGGAGTTTGCCTTTTCCACTCAGCGATAGACAATGGACATACTTCCATAGGAGCACATTTTGTATTGTGAAAAATAAAGAACATTAAAAAATGCATAAAGCATAAGGGTGAAGCTTAATAAATACCTGTTCAGGCACCGCACTGATCAGGAAATGAAATATTATTCGTACCTGGAGGCCCTCAGCTTCCCTTTCCCTCATCATAACTGCCTCCCTTCTCTCTAGCGGTAACCAGTGTCATTACTTATATGCATTTACCGTCTAATTATACTTCCAAAAACAATGTTTAATTTAATTTTGAACTTTAGATAAATGGAACCATGCAGTGTACATTCTACGGTGAATGACTTTCATTCAGTACTGTGTGTGTGAGATTCACCCGTCTCCTTGTATACAGTTCATTTCTATTGCTGTGGAGCACTCCATTGTGAGAATATCACCAACATCTGTCACTTCTACTGTAGATGGGTATTTTGGGTTATTTCTAATTTGGAAATATCTAAAATGCTGCTGTGAACATACGTGTATTAAGCCCAGATTCGTACATATATACATTCATTATACAAGCACTCATTTCTGTAGGAGTGTTATTGTAGGTTCACAGGGTTACCATAGATATTGCAAAACTGTTTTTTAAAGTGATTGAACCAATTTACATTCCCATCAGCAGTGTGTCAGGGTTCCTATTACTCTACATCTCTGCCAACACTTGGTATTATTAGACTTTTCTTTTTGCCCACTTAGTGAGTGTACAGCAGTATCTGTGTGATTTTAATTTTGTATTTTCCTATTAACCAGTGAGGTTGAACACTAAATGTTTGGCATTTAGATTTCCTTTTTTGTGAACTCCCTGGTCAGATATTGAATTATTTATATTTTTCTTTGATTTATAGGACTTCTGGAGACTGGCCGTTTGTCTATTTACTCATATTATAAATCTTTTCTCCCACTCTGTGGCATGCCTTTTTGCTCTCATATTGGTACTTTTTTAATAAATAGCAATTTTTAATTTTAATGTAGCCAGAATTACCAGTTTTTTCCTGTCCTTTCTGTGTCCTGCTTAAGGCTACTCTGAAGTCATGAAGATACTCTTCTGTTATTTCTCAGAAGCTTTATTATTTTAGCTTTTCACATTTAGGTCTTTGACCTTCCTGACATTGATATTTGTGTATATATGAGGTGTTGGGCTCCAAGTATATATTTGTTTCATATGCATATTCAGTTGTCCCATCATCATTTATTTAAAAAATAACAAAAAAAAAAACCCTGTCCGTTCCCTGCTTTAACATCTGTACACTAAGTACTTTGATCTGAACAGGTATTGAACGCTTGATTTTTTTCTTTCAGTGGGGGATGGAAGAATGGGATATGCCGAAGAAGCCCCTTATGATGCTATTCACGTAGGCGCTGCAGCCCCAGTTGTGCCCCAGGCAGTGAGTTGTTTCTTTCTGTGTTTGCGTTTTACTCAACTAAAATTCTCAAAGATGTATAGGGAAATAATTCTAGATGGTGTTCAAAATAGAATTAGACTTTTATGTCGTGCACTTCAGTTACAGTTAGGTAATTTATTTTTCATATGTATAAATGGCATCAAGATTACTAAACCCCAGTTCATGGCTGTCTTTTGAGGCAGTATTTGATCCAGCAAAGAGCTAGTCTACCAATAGAATTGGGAACATCCCTCTGGAGTTCATGACCCACTTGGTATTTTAGTAAATACCAGAATATGCAAGACCGTTGGGTGCCTGGGAGAGGCCAGGAAGTGTTTGTCATACATTTTACCCTCACAAAGTTTGCACCCTAGGAGAGCTGTGTCATACATGTAACAGGGAAATTAGTGATGTGATACCGTATCATTAATATATGATGTATATTGAATGAAAAAGAAAATCCTACTGTAGTTCAAGGCAGCGGAAGAATTTTGCATAGAGCGGTCGGAGAGACTTCATACAGGACGGAGCGTGAACTGGCCGTCGGAGTAGGAGAATTTTCATCGCTGCAGTGAGGGAGGGTATCCCATGTTATATGTTTTAGGGTAGTCAAGGAAGTCTTTAAGCGCAAAATTGATTTTTCATTTTGTATGACTCTGATAAGCTTACGCCAGCCCTTAGTAATCCTTGGTTAAGTTCACTGAAGTCTTAGGTTTCTGTTCCATAGGAAATTTACATAGTTCTTGACTAGATGACAGTGACGTCGTCTTTTCTGCCCAGTCTCACCCGCTCCCCAGCCTGGAAAGAGTTCTTTTTGTGTGTGTTTAGGTCAGTTATGACAAGCTGGAAGTTGGGAATTTGTTCTAATCACTGACTTGCTACTTACTGGCTAAATGACTTTGGGGAAATGACTTATTCTCTCTGACTCTGTTATCTAGTGTGTGTGTATGTTTTAAAGACTAAACCAGTGGTTTTTTAACACATTTTAATTGAAGCAGTAACGTGTGTAGAAAAGTATATAAATCAGAATAAAAGTATACAAATAATAAATGAATAGCTCAGAGAGTTTTCATATTTGAGCACATGATCAGTAGTTTTTAGTTTTTATTTAAAAAAATAGCAGCAGCCTAGTACAAACAGTTAAAATCTGAAATAGAACTGTGTTTAATTGAAGGGACTTGGGTGCAGGACTCATTTTCTCCACGAAGACCCTGAGATGATCTTGAAGGACATTTCTAGCTTGAGCTCAATATGATTTTAAACATACTAGCGCTTGTAAGTATTATAGGCGTCTTTTATACATACTGAAGGGTCTTTCTGGTTTTAGGATAACAGAGTAGAGATGTTTATGCTCCTCTTGGGTGTCACCCCAAAGCAACTAGAAAAACAAGAAACAGGAAGACGCATTCTGTGCAACTCTCTAGATTCTACCTGCAGCCCTGGGCTCCACAGAGTGTGGAGAGAGAAAGCAGGTGGAGTAGTAATCGACTCAGGGACCGCAGAGGGCACTGTCGATGCAGGCCTCTGGAAGGGCCTAGAAATCGGAGGCATCGGGACCTGGGAAGCCAGAGAGGAGGACTGGGTCTGAAAGGGGCTGCGGCGGGAAATTCTTGTAAGGAACAATCAGTCTTAAGTCCTAAGTAAAAAGCTATCCAAGAGCTGAAGACATGATCCTGTAGTTTGAAAAGATCTATTGAGTGTCCAGTACAATGAATTTTTTTAAAAAGGAAAGGAAAAAATAAGCACAATATCACTGTGAAATTGCAGAACCCTAGGGACAAAGAGAAGAGTCTAAGTTTCTAGAGAAACAAAAAGGATAACCTGTTAAGGATTGGTGACCAGATAGGCACGGCTGCAGAGCAGCAGCGTTAGCATCACAGGGCGGCCCGGCTGCTGTGGCTCAGTGGTTGAGCGTGGACCCGGGCACCCAGCAGTCACAGGCGCAATTCCCGGTCAGGGCTCATGCCGGGACTGCGGGCTCGACCCCGGTGTGTGTGGGGGGGAGGGGGAGGTGGCTGACCGATGATCAGTGTTTCTTTCTATCACTCTCCCTTCTCCCTAAAATCAATTTTAAAAAAAAGAATAAACAGGACAGGGGAACAAACCATCACAGTTCTAAACTGAAAATGATTTCCAACCTTGCCCGCACATATTGCCAAATACTTACGTAGGATAAAGATAGTTTTAAACTTGCAAATCTCAACTGCTCTCTTTAAAAATACTCTAGGTACTGTTTCACAGAACACTTCTGGAGGAGTTGCTTCAATCATATTAGCAAAAAATGAGAAAGGAGAGAGACAGTAGGAAAAATCAAAACTAGGAAGCCATGGGGATGTAGGAGGGTGGGACATCTTTCAGGAGAGGTGACGCGAGTTCCCAGTAGTGTTACAAAGGGAGTCCCAGGGTGAAAGCTGAGCAGGCCGGAGGATCACCAGTGCAGACTTGGAGCAGCCAGAGGAGGGCCCTAGAAAAGGCTACCCAAAAAGACAAGACACTAATTCGATAGGTTTGACTAAAAATTTCATTGAGAAGTTGTTGGAACACACAAAGGTTTGGAAACAGTTACAAAGGAAATTGAGTGAGAAAAGAAAAGGCTTCAGTTTTTAACTGCAGGGAAACAACTGTTATAAGAAAGGAAACAATCACTGAGTACCTCTTGGCTCAGCTGCAAATTATATTTACAGTCACAACTGAAAATGGTTGAAATAAAAAACTATATTGGTTGGATTGGGGAAAATTAGAATACATGTAAGAGAGCTCAGTCCTCATCAGCATATAATTTGAAATTCAAAAGTAAATGTGACTGTAGTTCATTCTAAATGGTATGCTTGAAAGTTGCTAAGAGTATATCTTAAAAATTCTCATCACAAGAAAAAAATTGTAACTGTGTGGTGATGGAAGACAATTAAACTTAAAATGTGGTGATCATTTTGCAACATAATATATATTCAAATTGTTGTATACCTAAAACTAATCCAATATTATATGCCAATTATATCTCAATTAAAAAAAATAAAAGACACCCTTTAGAAATAAACACTTCCAATTAAAAAGTAAGAATGGAAGACACAGCTGAAAGGGTTAAAATGACTGGATTTAGGAAGCAAGACGGGGAGAGGGAAGCAGCCTGCTGGCTTTCATTACAAATCTTGACGTTTAGAAAATAACTCAATCCTAGCAAATCCTGCTTTGATAAACATTAAAATGGGCAAAAAAGACTTGCTGAAACCAAAATTTTAATTGAGCCCTAGCTGGGTTGGCTCAGTGGTTAGAGGGCTGTCCCTCAGACTGAAGGGTCCCGGGTTCGATTGGGGCCGAGGGCACGCACCCCGGCTGCAGGCTGGGTCCCCGCCTGGTCAGCGCGCGTGCGGGAGGCAGCCGGTCGATGTCTCTCTGCCCCCTCTCCCCCCCTGAAGAGCAGTGGAGAAAATATCCTTGGGTGAGGTTTAAAACAATTTTTTAAAACCGAGACACCGTTTTGGGGGAATAATAGTATTCAAAGTAAGGTTTCTTTCTCATTGTTTTGNATTGTGTTTTGACTCGTGGCGGTTTGTAAAGCTGCGTTCGAATGGTAACGTGGTTTTAAAACTGAGCCTCGGTTCTTCACTGACGGGTCCTCGTTCTAACGCGCAGGGGCTCCAGCCCTACCTTCCTTCGCCTCGGCGCCAGCAATCCTAAATTCAGTTGTAAAACCACGGCTCCCTTAGCTTTGGTTGAGTGATGCCCTAAACTCCACAGTGATGGGGGCTCCTTGCAGGCTTTCTACCCTTCCCCTCCAAACCGCAGGTTCAGAACAAGCACCCAGGCGTTGGAATTTCCAGCTTTGCCGTTGGGCTTCCCGAGAGCATCGTTGTACGTTTTGTGTTCAGCCCAAACGTTCGAGCGCTGCAGTTGTCACGAGGTGCTCTGTTAGGTGCCAGGGGCACTAGGCTGTCGTCGAGACCTTGTAGTGCAGTAGGAGAGGTAGATTCACGAGCAGGTGGGAGCTGAGCGATCAGTTCAGCCATTCGAGTATTTGTGCACCAGATGGGGCGCATTTGTACGGTCCGCCCAGGGACACCGGAGGCTGCTTATAGAGATGTCACATGACTGTAAAATCCGTGACTTGGTGTGCACATGTTTTGTGTTTTTTCTTTTAGCTGATAGACCAGTTAAAGCCTGGCGGAAGGCTGATACTGCCCGTCGGCCCCGCGGGAGGAAATCAGATGCTGGAGCAGTATGACAAGCTGCAAGACGGGAGTGTCAAAATGAAGCCTCTGATGGGAGTGATCTACGTGCCTTTGACAGATAAAGAGAAGCAGTGGTCCAGGTGGAAGTGATTTTATCTTCTGCTCTTTCTTCTTCCACACACGCAAGGTGAAGGGTGTGCATTTTAAGCCGTTAGCCTGCCAGAGCTGTTTGTTTGGTTATCACCTTTACGCTGCTCCATCTTAACATCAGAAATTCACTACATTAAAAGTGTAGAAACATTTTGCATGGTCTACTCTTCTTTTGGTTTAACCCACATCTTTGGGGAAGGGAGGGTGAGACTTGGTTGGCACAAAGGTGTTTTTTTAAAGAGGCTTTCAGCCGCAGGTTGGTGCTAAGAGAGTTTATCATCAGCCACTCTGTTTCTGTATTTACAGATAATTTTTATAGCTGCTGTATGGTCCTGGAAGCAAAGGCTTTGGTTTGAAGAGAAGGGGCCACCATTTCCTGCCCCAGTTCACTCTCTCTTGTAGCTTTGTTGTAAAGAGAAAGACGGGAAGAGATACTCCTGTCCGAGTTTTCCAAGGTGTCAGAATCCCAGAGAGGAAGGGCAGTCTCCCTCAGCCTGGCTCCTCTTCCAGTCACCTTCACGATTCTCACAGCCTGTGCCTGTTTCATGTCCAGCTGTTGCTTCAGAGCCCCTATAACAAGTAAACTTACTGCCATTCTGTGGAACGGGCCAGCCAGTTTCTAACCTGCTTAATACAGCAAAGGATTGTCAGCTCGAAGGGAGTGCCCAGGTCTCACAAACCCACCCAAAGGTGCAGCAGCATGCGGCACAGCCCCCAGCACAGCATGGCGCATGCCGACGCCCCCTTAGTTGTACATCTCAGCATAATCTGAATACTTTGTTTGGAACCGGGGCTTTTCCTGTTCTTTCCCACTCCTCCCACGCGGAGGGTGGGATCCGGAAGCAGAGTGACACCAGCCACGAGCACTTGGAATTAAACGCCAAAATGAGAAAGGCTTTACAGCTGCCTTGTTTTAGAATCTATTTTTATTTGACAGAGGTACTTATTTTAAGATAATTATTTTCTTAGTAGGTAATATGGTGATTGTAAATTTAATAAATTTCTCATTTTATTTTTGAATGAATGTTTAATTGCAAAAATGGTAATGAATGTAACTCAACTCAGTTCAAACTGAGTTTTACTTTAAATTCTTACTGGCCATTTCTGAGATGTCTTACTGGGAACTGCATTTTGTTCTTCACGTAATGTTGTTATAAAGTTGTTTTCTTTGAATTCTAATCTGGAGCACAGGCACTTCTTAAAAAAACAAAACAAAAAGCTTTCAGGCTTGTCAGTTAGAAGCAGATGTAGTTAGACAGCTAAGTTCAGCCTTCCTTCACGTTGCTGGCGCGGTCATACCTTTACATGCCTGCGTGATACTGTGTAAAGGGGGCAAGCACCACTGAACAGGATGTCAAGTAAGAGCTCAGATTTTTATTTATAAGTTTGAAGTTCTTATTTACAGTAAATACTAGTATTGAGCATTCTACCTTTAATTTAATGAAAGAGAAAAGGTATTTTGTTTTGACAACCAGAGGTGGATTTTTGGCTTTAGGGCCCTTACTTGCTTAGGGTCCTTCCTGGCTTATACCTAATATTATATGAATAGTCTTGTTTTTAGTTTTCCTTCTTATTTCTCATCATAAAGAGACCCCTCCCCCTATATAAGCTTTAGGTTTCCACAACACCTGTATTATAAAGAACC